ACCAAGATTTAGCAGAGGCTGCAGCAGATGGACCTTTTACACTTTTTCAGCCACCTCCCGCCGACACTGGAATCAAGAGATCAAAGGACAAGCAAATAGATAGACACCAAATAAACGCAAATCTCAAGCTTCACCATCTTTTCAATCTTTTTTTGATGTGTGCTCATCTTCTCATGAAGTCGAGGGCGATTTGTATGTGTTTTTAGTCCTTCCAGGTGGAACCCGGGTCAACTGACTTCGCATTGAGCGCTGCGAGATGCGCAGTTGCCTTCGCACCCTCGCGCCGCTCCCTCGAGCATGGCAACTCTGCGGCCCAGACTGTGAGGCGCGAAGCGTGATCTGTCCTCGCGCTACATCGTGTGACCTAGGTACGGCAAGTTCGTGTCGTGACTACTTTTTGGGGGGTGGTAGAGGTGCCCGCAGCCCAAGGTGCCCCCCAACTTTTCGCTCAGTTTTGGAGCCCCTGGGGCCCTCTAGGCCTCGCGAGGGGTGCTCAGGAGGCCGTGGGGGCCTCTTCGGAAACCCTGGGGGCACCGTAGGCCATGGGCACTTCTGGCAACACCCGACCTTGTGCGATGGTCACCAGCACCGCGTGGACCGTTCAATCTTGAACGGTAGCAGCTTTGAGGCAACGCGGATTGTTCGATATTAGCCGGCTTTGGGCCACTGGCGGCGATCACGCTGGAAGGCCGGCGCCGGGGTCGCCACCGGTCGACGTGGCGCGAAGCTACCGTAACCGAGCCGCTGGCGCGCACTGGGCGCCATGTGCACGCGACATGGCTGGACCGCAGGCCTTCGCGGCAACGCCCCCAGCCAGCCGGCGACTTTGGGTGCAGATGGAAGATTATACGAAAGGCGCTCTGTCCTTCGTAACTCCGAGTGGGTAAGCAGCGGAGGCACCAAAACCACCGACGATGCAACTGCTGCATGCGATGGCTGACACCCTGCGCATGATGGCTCAACGCCGGCAGAGCGGAATGGGTAACGAACCAAACCGCTTGAAGGCGTGACCCCGCGAAACAGGAATAGCTCATCGGGGGGCCTTCAGGTACGGTGTATGCAAACCGCCTGCGGAAGAGGAATTCAAAAATACTTTGTCCACTGCCTGCCATGGTGCCGTGCTTTCGGGCCCCTCATTTTTTCCTTGCCTGTGCTTCTCGAGCTCTTCAAGCACATCGTGGCTAACGTGTACCGACGCGTTGCTTCCAATCCATCGCACTGCGGCCTTCCCCAAAAACCGGCCCAAGTCGGCACACACGGTGAGGAGGGACCGTGGACGTCCCCCTTTTCGCCCCCGTTCTGCCAAGCCGTTTGGGCCTGTCATTTTCTTGCCGCTGTTGCTGCCATTGCTACTACAGCTGCTGCTGCTGCTGCCACGGTTGCCACTACAGAGCAGCCGCGCCAAGTGCAGAACTCGGCCAGGCATCGATTTGGGGCTTGGCCACCCCTCCAATGCCTCTTCGGGCGGCCAGCGGGCGATTTTGCTAAGAATGAAAGCGCCTGCAGCAATGTATGATGGCCGACTACAGCGGTAACGACGCATTAGAAAAGATAGGCGAAAGCAGGAGGAGGTACGCGCGAAAACCCGGACAATCTGTATATCTGCTTAGCAAGAGTGTTTTTTTTGGGATGGGCTGGCGGGCTGGTTTAGTAACGGCCTAAATCAGCGCAGAGGAAGAGGAAGGCAAAAGAGGAATAACAAGAACGAGCAGGGAAGAGACAACCAGGAGGCGAGCCTCACTGCCGCTCAGAGGAGCGCAAGCACCAGGAAGAACTTCTGGGCGACGTGCAACACCAGGAGGTCATTCAAGAAACACTCTGGTGGGGATACTTTTTCGGTCGCGGCCACGAGCGAAGAGCGCACGCGGCGAACAAGGTGTCCGGGCCGACGGGCAAGCCTAATTAGCTACAAGACGCGCCGCTAGCCGGCCGGCCCACTCACAAAGCAGCCGCGGGGCTGTGGGGAAGCTGACGGCAGGGGGCGTCCTGGGAAGCTCGGGCACGTGCAGTGGACAAAATGTCCAGAAATTCGATGCCTGCCGTGAGGCATGACCCACACAGCGACATGACGTGTACAGGGGCAAACGTGTCCGTCATACTGGGTGGGGGCAGGCGCGAAGCCCGATGAGCGAGTCGCCAGTAGGGCGCCAGGCTCAATCTGTCCCAACGACGTGTGCTGGCTAGGGGAGCTGAGCTGCCGAGGAACGTGGAACGACGCGACCTGCCGGGAGCGGGGGGATGAGCCCGGGGTGCTGCTGCTGCTGCGAAAGGCGTCAAGAATTTGGCGACCGTGGCTTCCTGGCGACCTGAATCGTCCAATATCGGTCGAAACCAGACTACAAATGGCAATTGCCTTCAACCTTGAATGCCGGCGCGAACGTCGCCGCCGATTTCATCACTTGCCCGCGCAACCGCGGTCGCCAGGGCCCGGGTCGCGCGACTCGGCGCCCTGTAGTTGTTGTTCTAGTGCTGTGCGCGCGGCTTCAAAAGGGAAAGAGAGACAACGACGCCCCCCTGTGCCACCCGCTTGCTGCAGAGCCGCTGCGAATTCCAGTGGGTCTAGCCTAGCCTACGGCAGACATGCTGGCTTTGCCTCCCGTGATCTCGCTTTGGCCGCAGGCGCAGGAAGTATGGGGGCGAGGGTAGGGAGGGGGGGGGGGGAACAAATGGGGAACGCAGGGGGGCGCATCATGCGTTGCTAGCCCGTTCCAGCCCAAATCGGGTCGTGCCACTTCGACCACAATGCAATCACGATCACCTTCAGCACACTGCCGTGCGCGAGGGCAAGCATGGAAGAGTTCGAGCGGGTAGAACAAAACGATAACTCCTGCAACTCAACCCTCTCAAGGCAATACACACTACTGAAAGACGTCTTCTCAATGCCAACCCCTTGTCAGATGCGAGACATGGGCTTCCGCGATTGCGCCGCGCCTCAAGCTCCTGGCAGCGGCTTTGAATACCAATGTAACAGGAGGACCGAGCCGACGCTGTCGTAGAGGAGATAAGAGATCAAACCACGCACAAGAGAGAATCGGCATACATGCAGAGAGGCACGTGCACCTGCTGTCGAGATAACGGCATGTGTGCCGTGTCCGCCATTGTACAGTAATTGAAAGGAACGCTGGAAAAGGAGAGGCACCCCTTTTGGCCACAGGAGCGCCTGACTGCACGAGACACGCAAGAGACCGCTTGGAGGATCTGAAGGACAGCGGGCCCCTTCCGAAGCCTTCCGAACCCGAAGTGGTGCTTCTTTCGGCGTCCTGGCTGTGCCACCCGACGCGCATGCCCCTGCGCCATCTGACCGACTTTCTGCAGTTCTCCACGAACTTAAGCCCCCTTTTCCAGCAGCGCTCCAAAGGAACTCGCCCCCTTACCTGCCCTCTCCTCCCCTGAGGTCCTCTCGTCCTCGAGACGGGCCAAGACGCCCCCGAGACAATCCGACACGGCCCGCGGACCCTTCCAGACAACACTGGGACCCCCCCAAACGCCGCCACGCCACAGAGTCGAAGGTCCCCTCAACATCTCCCGAGAAGGCCCCAGGAGGCCCACGGGAGGCCCTCAAGAGGCCCCAAGATGCTTCCACCAACCGGAAACTCCCCGATGGAATCTGGGAGCCCAAAGACATCCAAGAGCACACATTGTTTGTAAGGGTGTTTTCTGTCTGAATCCTTATTTAGAGCCACGATTCTGCACATAACCCCGAAGCGACGTGAAGACCTGGCGGCGGGCACAAGGGGTAGGGGGAGTGGGGGAAGGCTCCTTAGCCGGCTGCTTCTTAAAATGCGCCGGCCTCACATCTACAAATGAGGCCCGCGCCTTCTAAGAAGCAGGGTGCTCCTAAGAAACCCTCCCCCCCCCTCTGTGCACGGCTGAATGACTTCAAGACACCACCCAAACGGTTATGGGCCAAAGCCGGTCCCGTACCATCCCCGAATAGCCTCGCAAACGTCTGAAGAACGGGCCAATACGAAGGTAGCGAGACCCTTCTGTGTAGCCCCAAGATGATTCCCCGTTTCTCTTCGGAGAGCTCCGGTGACGGTGAAATACTCATGCAATCACTTTGTGGCTGCGCTGATGCGCTGTCAGTGTTTTAGGAGGGCAACTGGATAATTACACAACGCTGACACGGATGCAGCACAACTAAATGTACAATGTTTTTGCAACCTTACGCTTAGTCGGTTTCGAAGCGCACCATGTCCTCAGAACATATGCAAAGCCGCCGACCCTTCGACGTGTGTGAGACGCTGTCGTCGTCTTCGTCGTCGCCAGTCCCAGGAGAAAAACAAAAACGTACAGAGAAACGAAACGTCGTACTTTCGTCGATTCGCTCCACCTTTTCCCCACCCCCCTCTGAGGGGTCGCCAGTGGGGGTCCCCCGGGGGAGGTCCCGCCTGTGGTGGGGGACTTGGTCCTAGAGGTCAAAATTCCGCCTCCCCCCCCGGTCCCAGCTGGTCCCATGGGGGGCGACAGCGAGGGTCCCAGGCGAGGTCCCGCCTTCAGTGTCGGCGGCACTGGCCGTAAGGCTTCTACAATACCACAACGCATTCTCGGCAACCGTGGCTTGATTCGAACTACCCGTGTTCAAGGAATTGGCTCGCAGACACATCATCGCAAAAGGACGGCCCACAACTGGACTGCTACGATCTGGAACTTACCCTGACGCCTTCCATCTCGGAAATGCGCTCCCATACCCTGCAACATGTCAAGCCGCACTGTTGGAACCTAAGTGAGATACGACACCACCCTACCACCACCTCGGGCCCCGTCGGAAATTACCCAGTATCGGCAGGACAGAACTAGGGCTGCAAGGCAGCTGGAGAAGCTCAACCATGCGCCTTGCGACTAAGATGATTTGTACGTATCTGGCCATGCAAAATCATCGATCATGTGTACCTCCAAGCACAAAGAATTACGCCACGAAGCACTGATCCTGAACAGTTGAAGGAGCAACATGCGTATACCACATAACCAAGGACATGCACCATTGGGCACAATACATCTTAAGCATAATTCTGCGCTGGAAATAAACAAAACTCCTTCGCCGTACCCTTCGGCGCCGCCCCACCAGTCGGGTGTTCTACCACCTTTGATGGAAAATCACGAACTCACCATGTGAATGAACTCGTGGAGGCATGCAGGCTTGAATGTGCACTAACACTGACCATACTGCGCAAGCGTAGCAACATGTTTAACGTAATGCGCACCTCCTGCTCGTCTCATCGTGTCCTATTCTCCCAGAACCGTCCGGCAAAGTCCCCCCTGCGAACCTCTGCGATCCACTCTAGCATCTTCTCAGTCTGCTTCTGGGTGAAGAAATGCTGGTTCTGTAAGCGGCGCAAAACTTTGAAACATTTGTGCACGATCCACCCTGGCCAACCATACTGGATTAGCTTTGATACGTCACCAAAAGCATTCAATTCTATCGGGCAATCGCGTAATCGAGACCATCCTCCGAAATCGTTTGCCACTTAAATCTGGCAATGTGTTCAGAACACTCCGCTGAGACACTCGAGGTCACCCGCCTCTTACGTGCATGCCTTGTAACCGTGTCGAGTGTCAGGCCATATTTGCCAACTTCGGGGAAGACATACACAAGCACTCATGGGCTCTCTCTCTCTCTCTCTCTCTCTTTCTACACACACATATATATATACACATATGCTCACGTACGCCATACACCTAAGCCCTAGAACCACAGGCGCGCTTCGCGCGCGCTTAGGTTCTTGCGCGTGACAATTCGCGCAGGGATCTACACATGCCATCGCTTGCGTCACCTTCCCAGAGAGCGTGGCCATCGATAACCTCAGTTGCATCTAGGCTTCATCTCTGGGCCTTCGGGCGTCCCCGACGGTCTCTAGGAGGCATCAAGACATCCCAGCAACCTTCACGATGGTCCCTGACGACGCCTGAAGCCAGAAGCGAATCCAGAAGCCTGAGTGCCAACCATGGCTACACCCGAGGGGCACCTCGCTGAAGCACGTGCCTCCCGAAACGAATATGCTCCTTGGCATGTTCGCCGATCCCCTGGGGTTCCTCGGCAGGTGAAATGATTGCCCCTCGCCCCTCCCCAAACACCTCCCTCCCTAAAAGAACCCCAAGCAACCCACCCAAACGACCCAACAGGGCCTCGCCTGAGCACGGCTCTGGACTGCTCAGTCTGAAGCACAGCGCCAAGACTGTTATGCGATAGCGCCCTAAGAAATAGAGGCATCCAGGGAGCCCAAGGGGTCGGCGGTGCGGTGTAAGACAATAAACGACGGACCAACCAAAATAGTTATCGTCATTCCTGAGTCCACGCGGCTTCTGCGATCATGCTCCTCATGCCTCTCCTTTCATACCAGTCCAAGCATCACGTCACACAGATCTCGACAACACATTTCAACATTGAGGCTGCATCTCGCACAATACGCGATTCGACCAAAGTTCGGCCTTTCGAACCCGACTTGCCTTGCCATCCACATCTGTGATCCACATCTAAGACATGCTGAGCAGTGGATGCCATGCCTCTGTCTTGGGCGACGCAACTGCAATGGCTGACAAGTGAGAGGCATGTCACCAGACTTGCCTGCATGGTCCCGAGCAGCGCCAAATAATCGTAGAAAAAGTTTGAGTCAGCGTTGTCGAACCTGGCGATGTGTGACAGGGAGGGTGGGAATATATATATATATAGAGAGAGAGAGAGAGAGAGAGAGAGAGAGAGACAAAACAACTTACACATACAGCCCACCAGCCCTCTGGGCGTAGGTGGTCTACGGCCGGCTCCTCTTCCAACCCCCTTCTTCCCGTTCGGAGAGGGGTTTACTCCTCCTCCTCCTCCCCCCTCCCCTGGACTGGACCTGGAGGGGGGGTTCGCTGGTAGTTGGAGCGTTCAAGATGGCCCCCTCGGAGAGCCCAAAATGAGCTCCAAGATGATTCAAGATAGCCCAAGACGTCTCAAGATGGCTCCGAAGATGCCCCAAGAGGTCCCGAGACCGCCCCAAGACGGCTCCAAGATGCCTCCGAGACCTCCAAGGAGGCCTCCAAGAGGCCAGCATCCTTCAAAAACCTAAAGAAAACCAATGATTGTTGCATCGTCGCCCGTTCGCTTTCGATAGCCTTCTGAGGCATGTGGTCCAGAGAGACGGAGCCACCCCTAGCTGCAAGGGGCCCAATGCGTGCATCAATTTTCCAATTTGAAGCAGCAGGCTAGGGATGCCCCCCTTCCTCGTCATCGTCTGACCTTTTCTCGTGCTGTGCTCTGCTTCTGCTGCTTCACAACCGTGGGGCGATTTCATTTTCCTGCTTCATCATCATGCTGCACTCCGTTGATCTGCGTCACAATCGTGATGCGTTGCGTCTTCAGGCTTCGCACGCCCAAATGTTTCCCCAAACGCTGCGCCGAACACTTGCGCATGGCTTCTGTACTGTACCGCGTATATCCGCCACCGTGCCCTGAGGCACGAGTTAGAGTGTTCTCAGGTCCCTTCGAATTCTGTTTTGAGCTCAGTGCATCTTCCTTCAGGGGCCCACAGCCTGGAGTTCCAGGCGCTCTCGGGCGCTGCAAGGGGGGCCCCCGCGTGACTTGTCGAGAGGCCAAGAGCGCGTTGTTCGCTACACGCAGGTCCAATATGGCCGGGACCGTCCTGGAGCCCTCTGGGACGCCTTTGTGGTCGTCTTGGAGGCCGTAGTGGGCAGCCAAAGATGCCCAAATTGTCAAAGTCGATTGGTTTTGTATGGTTTTCGCATTACCGCCTTTTCGCTTTTCAAAGCGTCCACGACGGCCCAAGAAGCGCCCAAGATCCCCCCGGCCCGAGAGCCTCAAAGAGAGACCCAAGAGGCCTCCGAGACGGCCTCAAGAGGGACCCAGGATGGGGACCACGAACTGACATTTTGAGCCCTCCGCCCCATGGCCCCCGAGCCCCCCGCAAGCCCCCCAGGCGCGCCCAGGCCCTCAGAGGCCCCCAAGACGCCCCAAGATACCCCCAAAACCGCCTTCAAGAGGCATCCTTAGAGCCTCCCAAAGAGATCCTCACAAGCATCCAGGAGGCCTCTGAACTACAATGCAGGCACGGTGGCGGATTGGGCTGAGGCTGAGGGCCTCTGAAAATACATATTGATTTTAAGATAGAAATAGCGAACACACGAGAAGACGTAAACAAGTAGCACTAGCAATGACAAAATCCACCGACACTGTCGGAGTGTATGAAGGGCTTGCCTGTTCGAGTCGTCGTCTCCGTCAGTCGTCTCCGTTGTCCCATTTCCCTGCACCCTCCTCCTCAAGCCTGTCACCGAGAGAAACACCTAGCAATGCCTCAGTCGAGTCGAAGGGAAGCCCCTTCCCTTTGATCCAACCCCCGTCGGGAGCGGGGGGGGGTCCTGGAGGGGGTCCCCAGGGGGAGGGGAAGGGGCAAATACGCATCCCCCGTGGGGCCTCATAAAGTAATAAGACAAGCTAAGAGTGCCCCAAGAGGCCCCCGAGACGGTCCAAAAGAGCCCCCAATCGCCAAACGATTGGTCCAGAACGCCTTGGTGCCCTCCAGACTGCCCAGGAAACCTCCAAGGCACCCCAAAAAGCCTCCAAGACCACTCCCGAGAGGGCCCCAAGAGGACACCATCATGGATTTTCTTTGGATTTCTGTTGTGAACTACTTGGGCGTTCTCGCCTTTTCCGCTCCCCGCTGCTCCAAGACTGCCCAACAGGCCCCTAAGATCGCCCCAAGACAACCCAAGACGCCTCCAAGAGAGCCCCCAAACAGCCCAAGGGGACCCCAAGACACCCCACAACGCCTCCAAGACGGCCCAAGAGGCTCCCAAGCCGGATCCAAGAGCGTGCCCAGACGGGGTACCCGAACGGACATTTCGAGCCCTCGACCACAGGAGGCCCCAAGAGGGTCCCAGGAGGCCCCAAGAGGCCTACAAGAGGCACCAAGACGCGCCCGAAGAGGCTCCAAGAGGCTCCCAAGAGGCCCCCAAGAGGCCCCATAATTCCTCCCGAGAGGCCCCCGAGAGCCTTCCGAAGAGACCGCAAGAAGCATCCCTGAGGATTCTGGCCCAAGTCAGCATCGTCGTCGTTGTCGTCGTCGTCGTCGCCACCGTTGTCGTCGTCGTCGTCCCCCTTCAGGGTCAACGGCACCGGCCGTAAGGCCTTCGCAATGCATACGCACAACTTCATCAACGCGTTCAATCTGTAACCCAATAAGGATGGGCACTTGTTCTCGTTGTAAGCCTTCCGGATCTTGTCGACCGTCTGGCGGCGAATGCAACGAACCAATCAACACAGAAACTGACTTGCCCATGCGCTTCCCATGGGCAAACCACAATTTTCCACGATTCCAACTTACCGCGCTCCTCTCCTCCAACTTCCCGCTCTCCAACCCACTCGAACACACATACTTTGATATGCGGACCTGTGATTAAAAACAGTATACCAATCTTCCATCTGTCGACATACAATGTAGGATGCTCACTTCACTCGCTGAATACCTCAATCGTCTAAAGTTGCAACACGACGCATGAGTCACATGCATGGGTGCGCGTGTGAAACGAATTTCAGGACGACCCTTGCACAAAGATCATCGCTGGGCAATCCTGGAACAACTTCAAGGCCATGCCACTTTCGACTGTATCTTCTTCCGGCAAATTGAAGATCGCCTCGGAGTCAACGCGCGACAGCACCGCGAATCACCCATACAACGACCAACGATACGCAATCGTATGAAACTAATCGAGCAGTCCCCATCGCTTGGAAAAAGCTAGTGGACCCTCACGTGCACACACGAGGCGCGCACGTACGAATGTCAAATCAATCGTGTTGCGTAGTTGTTCTTCGAACTTTCTTACTACACGCTTCCCTCAGAGCACAACTTGCCTTCACACAGTCAAGTAACAAAAAGGGCACGCATAGGAATGGAGAGCGAGAGACGAATTAGCAACAATGGAACTATGTGCTCACCAACTGCTGACAGACCACGCTGTAGCACGGAGAGACAAAATTTTGAAACGCTCTTGTCCTGTGGTGCTGTTCGCCCGCGTCTGCGATTCGTCAATTATTTGCGGACCGTCCAGAGAATCTGCCTGCTACTCCATGATGCTGCTAGGCTGACTGGTTCACAACGGGCTGACAGTGCCTCGTTCAGCTTGAACAGGTGCTCCGCATGCAGCTTCTTGGGTGGAGCCGACTCCTCCGCATGACGGAGGTCGCTTGGGTCACTCATGCTGGCTGGCAACTCAAATCTGTGCGGAACGCTCTCGCGAAATTCACACAGCCCTGTCGGAATTGGTGGTCTAGCGGACCGGCTCTTCAAACACAATCCTTCATTCCCCTTCGAAGAGGGGTTCTTTCCTCTCCCTGTCAAATGTCGCAGGGATCCCCCCTCGCCTAGCCAAGCGAAGAGGGTCATTCACGCAAAGCGCATTGTGGGAACAGCGCCGCACTGGCAAAGACGGATGTCCATATGGTTGCCTTTTGGATATGTTGTCGATCTCGGGGCCCGAAAGGATGGACTTCTTGCAGATTTTCTGGGCCGACGTAGCCTGAACACTCTGCAGTCCATCAACATCGAGCGAACCCGAAATGACAAAAACTCCCCAAACTCGTCGTGGGGATTCTGAAAAGTCTGTAGCGGCCACTGGGGCCATCTTTGTGCCAACTACGGATGGCTCCAGCGACCGGGCCGCGAGGTGAATGGAGCTTTGGAGGACTCTTGTGGCCATCTTTGGAAACTCCAAGCTGTCGTTGGGTCTTCTTTGAGCCTTTTCTGGCTGTTTCTGGGCGTCTTAAACTATAAATCATCCATTTGCTATATTGTTGTCCTGCGTACGAATGCCCCTCTTGGGACGTCTGGGGGCCATCTTCGGGCCCACTTGGAAACTACCTTGGACCAGAAACCTTCTTGAAGGCCATCTCGGCAATCTCGGAAACAATCTCGGGCCATCTTAGACCGTCTGGGAGGCAGCCCGGGGCCAAGATGGGACTGCTGACGCGCCGGTCCCGTGGCCGCCGGAGGACTCGCGCGTTGACCCTTTGAAGGTGGGGCACACGCGTGCACGATCGCCCCACGTACGCGCAGACGCACGAAAACACGCAAACGCACACACAGAGAACCCGTGGCAAGACGCACGCTTCTGTTGCGTCGCGGCCCCGCGCGCAGGGACGCGGCGGAATCAGACAGAGGAGCGCCTGGAAGCACCGCTGAGGCCACAGAGGCGGCCGCGGACCCACGCAGCCCAACGAACAGCACAGGGCCCACTCCTGGGGAATCGCGCGGTGCGGGCGTCCCTCGGGGGAGCCGCCGGGCGAGAGAACGAGCGGGGAAGCTGCCAAAAGACGTACTGACCGTGGGGAGAAGGGGGGGCAGCAGAGCAACGCACGAGGGCGCACCCGAACGCTGGGCGACGGTGGCAGACCGCGAGGGGTCGACGAGCACGGCGCAGCGGGGGCCATGGAGCTGAAGGAAGTGACAACAGCGAAGCCCGGAGGGGCAGCAGGAAGGGCGGCAAGCAGAGGCGAGCGCGGAGGTTCCGGCGAAGTCCGCGGAAGGTTGCTCTCACGCGCACGCACCTCCAGCCGGGCGACCCATCCAATGCTTGCACGTGCCACCCTCCTCAGAATGCAAAGTGAGCGCGGGTCGGGGACGCCTTTTTTATGTCCGCCAGGACGGTGTTCAGATACATCCCTGCGCGTGGTGGGAAGGCATCTCTCGTGCACAACGAATTTCACCCCGCCTTCATCTTCTCATCTCCCTCCCCTTCCCTGGCCTCCCCCCCTCCCATCTCCCTGCCCCCTTCTCCATCATCACTCCTCCTCCTGATTCTTGATTGTCGGCTGTATGGTTGTTCAGACGAAGTCCCCCCCAAGGCGGGTCGGCCCTGAGGTGTTGATCAAATTAGAGCCGGGTGACCCTCGGAGCACCGCTCCAAGGGTCACCGGCAGTGCGGTAGAATGTAAAAGTGAAGGGCAACGACTGTCAGAAGTCGAGGAGAGTACAAGAGGGAAAAAAACATACCATGAAGAGGAAGAGGAGGGGAAGCTGTGGGCGGCGACAGTGGGCAGCACAGGGGTGACTCCTCCTCCTCCTCCTCCTCCTCCTCCTTCTCCGCAGCCTCCTCCTGTCCCTCCGCCTCGTCCTGGACCCCGATGCTTGGTTCTCGGGCCCATCGTCTGAAACACCTGTGGGCTGACTGCTCGACGACCTCGAGTGGCAGTCAACCCGTATAATACAGATGCACGGCGAAGATGCAAGGGCCTTGGAGGGCCATGTGAACGTTTTTCGAGCGAGTTTGGCCTGCGAGACATGGGCCGACTTGGGCAGGGATGCAGGGGCGACCTTTGAACGTTGCTCATCCCTACGATGCGGGTTGAGCGCACGAGCCACCACGTGCTCATGAGCTCGGATGCCTGAGGCAATACCGCACTCTACAGCAGGGACGACAGGGAGGGAAGGGGAGGGAACGACAGGAGGGAAGGGGAGGGAAGGGGGGCAGGGAGGGAAGGGGAGGGAAGGGACGAGAGGAGGGAGGGGACGACAGGGAGATAGGGGAGGGAAAGACTGAAGCGGAAGGGCGGGTCACTGAGGGAGAGACTGAGGGTAGGGAACGACTGAGTGAGGGGAGAGAAAGACCGAGGGAAAGACCGAGGGGATCAGGAGCGGGAGAGGGAATGAAGGAACTTGGAACGGCAACGTGAGGGTCAGGCTGGGGTGGGAAGAAGAACATTCTCCTCTGCTGCCCCCCCCTCACTCCCTCGTTCCTGCCTTCACCTCCTCTCCCCTCTCCTTGGTCCTCCCCCTCAAGAACCGTCCCCTGGCCTCTCGTGGGGTCGTGTTACCATAAAACGTTCGAGGTTGCGCCCTGACGCGGCGACGAGACAACGAGATCCGAACTGTCCCCCTCATCATCCCACGACACCTCATCGGTCCGCTGGCTCGATCTTTTGACTGCACTGGCTCGCTGGCTCCTGATTTCTTACCCCGAATCTGGCTCTCATTCCCTCTCCGCAGCCGAGATCGCGATGCCACCGAGGGGAAGCACTGGGCCAAGCGCGCCCCCCACCCTCAGCCATCCCCGCACTCATCCCTATCCCTAAGGTTGACGAGCGAAAAGGCACTGGCAATCTCAGGGGTGCGCCCTCAGAAGCTGATGCAATCCCTACGGTTGGCATCGAGGTGAGGCGATGCCACGCATGGGAGCAGGAACGTGTTCAGGCTGGCAGGCCCTGGGACGACGCAGCACTCGCCCACCGGCGGGCCACTGCCTCGGCAGGCAGGCACTCTCGGGAAGGCGCCACGCCAAGTCAGAGGCCCGCTCCCCGTACGGCCGGGCTGCTGCCAGAACAGGCGCGCAGAACTGAGGGCTGGAGCTCCTGCTTGGCCCCCGAGGCGCCTGCGCGCACGATGAGGGCCAGAGGCACAGCCATGGAGAGACCCGAGGAACATCGGGCCCCCTTCCGAACCCAAGCCGTTCCTCATTTCAACATCTTGGCTGTAGATCAATCGTCATGCTCCTCCTGCTGTGCAGGGGGCTGGCCCGCCTCGAGGCGGAAGGGGAGGGAAAGAGAGAACACAAGCCTCCCAAGTGGGGTCCGAGCAGATGGTGTCGGAGGGTCGCGCCGCATCGCCGATGCATCGTCGACGTCGGCGCTGCATCGGCGACGTCGACGTAGAAAACATCGATGCTTTGTGATCCTCCGACCACATCTGCTCGCACCCCTCCTGGGAGGCCCAGATCGGTGGCGGGCGAGGAGGGGGAGTGAGAAGGAGAGGGCCTCCTCAGAAGGCGGCGGGACTTCTCCTAAGCCCTCGCCCCTTTTGAGAGGTTTTCTGCGTCTTCGGGGAAGGCCCAGAAAACTCCTAAGAAGGCTGGGTAGACGAAACTCCAGGGGCGGCGCCTCTGGCGCCGCCGGGGGGCCCCAGCGCGGATCCAAGAACTCCGCGCGGAGCGCCAAACGTTTATGTTTGAGGCGTCTTTTCTTCTTCGACTGGGGGACTTCGGAGCCTCCTGCTCGGGTCGGGCGAAAGGGGGGGATAGCAAAGGGGGGGTTTGAGAATCAGCTCACGTAGCTGATTCTCCCGGCGCCTCCCGGCGCCGGAGGCGCCCATGCATCGAGGAATGGGCCCCTCGCTGGGGCCGAAACCAGCTGCATGCAGCAGATTTCGTACGCCCCCCTCTCCCAATCCCCCCCCCCTTTCGTCCGAGCCCCCCGAGCAGGCCCGCCCCCCTCCCCGCTGCCACCCCCTGGTCCGCCGCCGACTGCCAAGACGGGCGACGAGCGCGAAGGGGCGCGGCCGTTCTCCGCGCCTCCGCCCGGCAGATGCGCCACGAGGACCCCCGCGAGGCGGGAGGGGGCCGACGCCGGGGCGCTCCGCGCGGCACCAGCGCCGGAGACCGAGCGGCAGGGGCCATCCTGACAGAAGAAACAGCCACATAGACATAAAATTTTGGCGCTCCGCGCGGACTTCTTGAATCCACGGTAGGGCCCCCCTCCCCCGGCGCGCGGAGCGCGCCAGGGGCGGCGCCAGAGGCGCCGCCGGGGGGGGGGGAGCAGGCGGGGATCCAAGAAATCCGCGCGGAGCGCCAACAGTTTATGTCTATGTGGTTGTTTCTTCTTCGAGTCCTGGCCCCAGGGAGGCCGAGCCAACCTCTGGAGCTTCCCTGCGGGGTGCGTGTCGGTCAGGTGGTCGGGCTCGAGCCCCCCTCGGGCCGCTGGTGCCCCAGAGGGGGGAGAGGAGGCAGAAGTTGGCGGGCGGGAGGAGGCTCTGGTCGGGGGACCCTCGCCTCCGTGCGCAGACGGTTCGGAGCACCTCGGTCGCTCCCCGATGCGAAAACGCTCGGTCAGTTGCACACGCCCCTCGGGGTCATGTCTGCGCCGTCCTGGAGCCCCTACAATGTCCCTTGTGCCCCCATTCGAGCTTCCAATGCTTCCTGCCATGACGGGGAGCCACGGTGTGGGAAGCCTCGCTCCGAGAATATTCGCCATGGGAAGGCGCGTTGTTCGGGGATCCACGCTGTTGGAAGCCCTGCTGTGGGAGGCCTTGCCATGGGAAGCCAACATCGGTCCCCCGCCGGTTGCTGCGCGTCGCCGCTGCAACATGTCACATCGGAGCCAACCGCGATCCTGATGCGTATTCCTTGGTGGTGGCATCTAGACCCTCCTTTCTGCAAGGATGGGGATTCGAATACCACATAAGAGATCCACTGGGCCACGCCCCCCACCCTCCTCCCCAAGAGCCCGCCCACCACTGGGCCGACGCACCCCTGAAGCATCAGCGGACCGCTGCCCCAGAAAATTCCCTTCCTCCTCTGGGTGCCGACCCCTCGGGCCCAGATTCAAATGGATGGTTCGGACGGACAATGGGGCGAGGCGAGATGGTTAAAACATCCAGTCGATAGATCAGTAGAGTCAATGAAAGGACAGGGGAGTGAGACCCCTGAGTTGTTGCTTGCCTAGACAGGTCCGCGGGATCTTTACCCTCTCCTGTTTTGGGTCTAGACTCGGGAGTCCTTCTGTGGCGGCGCGCAGAGGGGGGTAGGGGGAGGGGGGAAGGCTTCTTAGAAGCACTCCGACTTCTTAGGAACACCCCTGCTTCTTAGAAGCCCCCTGCTTCTTAGAAGCACCCCTGCTTCTTAGGAAGGCCTTGTAAGAAGCAGCCTCTTTCCAAGAAGCCTTCCCCCCTCCCCCTACCCCCCTCTGCGCGTGGCCGACTTTAATCGATCAGCCCTACCCCGGGGATGTAGCCAATGGGAAACCCACTCTTGACTCCCCACGCTGGATCCTTGCTGATTCTCCTCCTGCTCCATTTCCCCCTTCGGCACGGGCGTGGCAGTTGGCGTCTCCTTTTCCTCCCTTTCCCCCTTGGCACGGGCGGATGCCTTGAGAAAGAACGTCTTCTGCGTTCCCCCGCGCTGGCACCCCCCTTTGCACGACGACGCTCGAGCAGAAATTCCCGCGGCGGAGGGCGAAGAAGAGAAGAGGAGAGGAAGGGCTTGGGGGAGAGGGCCAACACGGGGGCCCTCCAAGAAGGGCACAAAGCAACGATGGGAGGGGGGCGATAAAGATGACGGACACGAGCAAGAGGAGAGGAGGAGGAGGAGGAGGAGGAGGAGAAGGAGGAAGAGGAGGAGGAGGAGGAAAAGGAGGAGGAGGGGGAGGAGGAGGAGGAGGAGGTAGATCATTGGGGGGAGGAGTGGGACGCTTCGGAGGAGACTTCGGAGGAGGAGGAAAAGGAGCCTGGAGCGTGGACGGATTTCGGGGCCCCCTGGCAGCGTACGTCGCGGTGTCACAGCCATCCGGCCAGGCACCCGGCCAGCCATTGCGCGGCATGCGCGCCCTCACGTGCTGCCAGGCCAGACAGCAGCTGCTGGCCCCTACTTGTACGCAATGGGAGGCGAGCTGCTGGCCCCTACTTGTACGCAATGGGAGGCGACCTCGCCTCCTCCTCCTCCTCCTCCTCCTCCTCCTCCTCCTCCTCCCTCCTCCCCCTCCTCCTCCTTCTCCTCTCTCCTCCTCCCTCCTGCTCCTCCTCCTCCCTCCTCCCTCTCCTCCTCCTCCTCCTCCTCCTCCTCCTCTCTCCTCCTCCTCCTCCTCCCCTCCTCCCTCCTCCTCCTCCTCTCCCTTCTCCTCCTCCTCCCCTCCTCCCCCCTCCTGCTCGCTCCCTCCTCCTACTCGCCCTTCTTCTTCTCCTCCTCCTCCTCCTCCTCCTCCTCCTCCTCCTCCTCCTCCTCCCTCTTTCCTGCCTGCTCCTGCTGGTTCCTTATTCCTCCTCCTGATTGCTCCACCTCGCTCCGCCTCTACCTGCTTCCTCCTCTCTTCTCCTCCCTTGGCGGGGTGGCGCTGTAGCAGTCTCAGAGCTCGGCTGGTCGCTCTCAAAGGGAGCACGAGCCATCCTAGACATCGCCTCCCGCAGAGCTGGCCTGGCTCCTTCCAGATGGAGACCTCTACAAGGGGATGTTCGTGCACGGCCATGTGTCTGCAAGGCGCACCTGGGCGACTGTCTCGCTCGCGCTGCTGGACAAGTGGGATATTCCGGACTGGCCCGCCTGGGGCGGTGCCGCGAGGGGGGAGACCGCCCTACCGGCGTACAAGGAGCACATCCGAGACTCCCTCAAAGCCAGGTGCAACGCAACCCTTTGTCAACGGCTGCACACGCGGGCCCGGGTGCGCGCCCCGCTCTCGCTTGGCCCAGCGCCCCGGGATGACCTTTCCACAGCGCTCTCCCTGCGCCTGCCCAGCACGGCCCTCTTGGGCCAGCGCTCCATCAGTCGGCTCTGGTGCCAACTCTTGGGCCCCCGAACTATCCAGGGTAACTCGGGTCCAGGGTAAGTCGGGCTCGGAATCCCGAAAAACGAACCCGAGTTAGCCCTGACCCGACTTACCCCTGATGATTCGGGGCTCTGGACGCACGAATTATCCGGGGTAAGTCGGGTCCGGGGTAAGTCGGGTTCGGAATCCCGAAAAACGAACCCGAGTTAGCCCTGACCCGAATTACCCCTGATGATTCGGGGCTCTGAAACTCCATGTCCTGAGCCACTCATCCGGAGTCCGCTCGAGGGCCCGCCGGCAGGTCTGCGTCTGCTGTCAGGGACAGGTTCTCAGCCCAACCCTGCACGTCCTGGGCAGCTGCAGCACCACAGGCGCGGAGAGAGCGGCGTTCTGGACAGCGCGCGGCCCCCTGCCTCCGCCGTCCAGGGAAGCAGCGGTCCGCGAGATCCTCTCGGTCCGCCCAGGGGAGGCCGGGTTCGCGGAGGCAGCCACCCTCGCCAGAGACATTGACCTTGCGGTGTCGAAGTTCTGGGGCCCAGCGGCGGAATAAGAGCTCGCATCACTTCCTCGGCACGTCCTCCTTGCCTGCGCCCCTCCTCCTCTCGCTCCCTCCAGAGCCGGAGGGTCGGGCTGATCCAGGCTGGGCGCGCTGAGGCACAGGTGGAGGGGCCCCTACCCCCCCCCCTGTGAATGGCTCTCCCCCCTTCCTTACGACACTGCGCCACGCATCTTCGCCATGCACTGGCAGGGTCTCGGTTGGACGGTCATGCGAGAGCTCCAATCGCAAAGGCCCTCTGGCTCTCCTTCGATTGGCCCATTCCCTCTGCAACGGCTGGGCTCCGACCCTCCTCTTCTGTAGTCGGGTCGGTGCTGGGGAGAGCGGGTTATGAAGGCCAGCTCCAACCCCCCCCCCCCTTCAGAAAGCGGAGGCGGACTCTAGCTCGGTCGTCGTGGGGTCGCGCACGACGGCCCTCCCGGGCCTCTGGCGCCCCCCACGAAAAGGCGGCCACGCATGAGGCCACCGACCCCCTCCTCTGGAGGACCAGTCCAGTCCTCCTACTCGCCCTCCTCCTCCTCCTCCTCCTCCTCCTCCTTCTTCCTGCCTGCTCCTGCTGGCTCCTTCTTCCTCCTCCTGCTTGCTCCACCTCGCTCCGCCTCCTCCTGCTTCCTCCTCTCTTCTCGCTCCTCCTCGCTCCTTCTCCGCTCAACCTCCGCTCCCCCTCGTCCTCCTCAAACGCTCCGCCTCCCACTGCTGAGCTGGACGCCAGTCCTCCTCCTTTCGGGGCGGGCGTGAGGGGGGTAACGACTCGGCAACACGCAACTGATTTTCCCGGCGCCTCCTGGCGCCGGTGGCGGCTACGGGAAAGGGCGGCGTGGCCGAAACCAGCTACAGGCAGCAACTTTCACATCCACTCCGTTTCCTCTCCTCCTCCTCCTCCTCCTCCTCCTCTTCCTCCTCCTCCTCCTCCTCTTCCTCCTCAACAACCTCCTCCTCCTCCTCCTCCTCCTCCTCTTCCGTTCCTCCCTCCCTCCCTCCCTCCCCTCGCCTCGTCAACAATTCCTCCTCCTCCTCCTCCTTCCTGCCTTCACCTGCGTCAGCAGTTACCCAACGCTGACACAACAGGAGCACTGCCCTCCTCGCCCCCGAGGGCGCCCCGAGAGTGGCGCGCGCCCCCCTCCGCGTAGCGTAGTGTTCTTGGCGCACGGAGGGGTCGGTTCGGGCAGCTTCTTCTTGCGAGCCCGTTCGATCCGACCGTCTTCGGTCCTCCCGGAAGGGCGCTCCCGCTGGCAGCGTGGGCCTCGTCATAGGATCGGTGCTTTGCTCCCGTCGTTCAGAATGGCGCCTTCGCCCCAGCGCGGGCCACTTCACTGGATCCTCGCACCCCCTCTTGCAGCATCGGGTGGGGCCTCCCTTTCTGTCTCCTCACAAGATCCTGACGCACCAAATCCGCCGGCCCCCTTGTGGGGCCACCAGGCTGTAGGCCGAAGCTTCGCAGCTTCCTGTGCCAGTTGCAGCTTACAGTTTCCACTGTTACAGTTCTGCTTCTTGCTGCTTACTGTTCCTTGTTGATGGAGCGCGCGAGGGGGGGGGAAGGCCCAAACGGGCAGGTTTAGCACGCCCTGAGCGTGTGCTCTGAATTGCCAGGGTGGGTAAAATTTAACACCCCTTACGCAGATCGGCGGGGTCAGGGTCCGAAAACACATGGGACTTGCCACATGTCTGAAATTTGCTGGCACCCCTCACGCAGATCGGCGGGGTCAGGCTCCAAAAACATAAGGGATTTGCCACATTTCTGAAATTTGCTGGCACCCCTCACGCAGATCGGCGGGGTCAGGGTCCAAAAACACAAGGAATTTGCCACATTTCTTAAATTCGTCGGCACCCCTCACGCAGATCGGCGGGATCAGGGTCCAAAACACAAGGGATTTGCTATATTTCGGAAATTTGCTGGCACCCCTCACGCAGATCGGCGGGGTCAGGGTCCAAAAACACAAGGGATTTGCTACATGTCTTCGAAATTCGCTGGCATCCCTCACGCAGATCGGCGGGGTCAGGGTAAAACAACACAGAGGATTTGCTACATTTCTGAAATTCGGTGGCACCCCTCACGCAGATCGGCGGGGTCAGGGTCCAAAATCAAAAGTGATTTGCCACATTTCTTGAATTCGGCGGCACCCTCACGCAGATCGGCGGGGTCAGGGTCAAAAAACATAGGGGATGTGCTACATTTCTTAAATTATTCGGCACCCCTCACGCAGATCGGCGGGGTCAGGGTACAACAACACAAGGGATTTGCCACATTTCTGAAATTCGGCGGCCCCCCTTCACGCAGATCGGCGGGGTCAGGGTCCAAAAACACATGGGATTTTCAACATTTCTGAAATTCGGTGGCATCACGCGGATGGACATGGTCAGGGTCCGAAAACACAGAGGATTTGCCACATTTCTAAAATACGCTGGCATCCCTCACGCAGATCGGCGGGGTCAGGGTCCAAAAACACATGGGATTTGCAATATTCCTCAAATTCGGTGGCACCCCTCACGCAGATCGGCGGGGTCAGGGTCGAAAAAAAACAGGTCTCGACACTGCTTCACGGCGGCGCCCAGGCCTCATGATTTAGCTTTTGCATCTCCCATCATCCGAGACAGGGGGCCGGCGGCATGGGGCGAAGCCCTTACGGATAGTCGCCAAAGTTTGCACTGCCCTCGAAAACAACCAGAAATTAGTGTCAGGACCTTTGCACCTCCCACTTTTGCATGCAGTGACCATATCGTATGGAATTGCTTTGGTACTCTCCGGCGTCGTCAGACTTTCGGTATGCCTACTGCGATCTGGGGCTTCGTCAGACCCATATTTAATGATGATCAGCTGTGGTCTGCGGCGCTGGTTCCTAATCCTGAACGGTTGTTTCCGCCGCCAATTCTGGAGATAGACAGGGGGGAACGAAAGGGTAGGGTACCAAAGGGCAAGGTAGAGAATCAGCTCACGTTGCTGGTTTTCCTGGCGCCTCCTGGCGCCGGGAGGCGCCCATGTATCGAGGAATGGGCCCTGCGGCGGGGCCGAAGCCAGCTGCATGCAGCAGATTTCGTAACCCCCCTTTCCCTATCCTACCCTTTCGTTCAGCCCGAACAAAGCATTCTGGGCAAAAGCAAATAGTCAAGGCCAGGCCCTGACCTCAACAGTTTTCGGCGATGGGCCTGGCATTCATGGACCGTCGTTCGTCCTCGTCGTGCTCATCCTCCTGCTCGTCCGCCACTTCCTCCTATGTGCACAGCTTCCCTGTTCCGACGGCGCATGACACGATAGGGGTCCTTTCTGGAGTTCCAGGTCCGCTAGGACAGGCGTCCGCGGATGGAGACAAAATTAAACATCGCATTTGGGAAGGGATGGATGGGAGGGGTAGGATGTCAGATGTGGCGCGCGCGAGCGCACCTAGCTTGCCCCCCTCCCCCTCCTCCTCTTCCTCCTGCCTCGCAACCCGTGCTCCGACGAAACACGGCATCGGCCCGAGCGCGAAGCAGCCTCCGCGTCGCCACTTGGCCAGAAGCGGAGGCAGCGGCAGATCAGCCGCTGGGGGGAACTGCGGAAGAAAACCCCAACGCTCGGTCGCGAGAGAGGAAGAATAATGGCGAGTATGACGATGAAGATGAAGGAACCGGGTCCCGAAATCGTTCGCCGTTTTCCATATGCCCCGGGACCGGCAACAACGACTCAAAATGGAGAGAGACGGGAATCATACCGTGATGCGATGGGCTCCGGATACTCAAGGCACGCTCCAGGAGCTCTGGAGCATCCGGCGGCCCTCGTGTCAGTGTCTGGAATCCCCGCGGACCGACAAGGGAACCCGGAAATCTCGGAACGCATCGCTGCCGTTACTTCGCGCTCCTCCAAGGGACAGGGAGGGTCAGGCAGCGCTCCCTCTGGCGGGCAGGCCGCACAGCCCATGGCCTCTCACTTGTGCTTCTTGGCTGCCTGGATCTCCTCGCCAATAGCCTCCAGCATGGCAAGCGCCCCGGCCCGGGAGGAGCTCTCCACGCCAGACCACCAGCGGAAGAACCTCGAACCGACCTCGGCGGTGCCGGACATTCTGCAGCGGATGCTGCCGTCCTCGCCGGGCGGCCACATCTCCAGCTCGTCCTTCTGCGAACCCGCCGCGTAGGGGTAGCCGGCGCCCGCCTCGACGGTGTCCATGCCGAATCGCCACACTCCCTCGGGCGGCTTCTCCAGGAGGGTGCACGCCCTCGTGCAGTAGAACGCGCCAGCCAGGGCCCCGGTGCCGCCCTTGTGTCTGAGCACGAGGCCCAGCCCTGGCCGCAGCGGCCCCAGCGCCACACTCTCCAGGCTCGAACTGGCCTCCATCACCTTCGGCGGCTTGTCCTCGTCGCCATAACTGGCCACCTCGTCCGTATCCGTCACGACGGCGGCACCAGCAGCGACTTCCTTCAACAGCTTGGAACAATCAACCATGCGCAAGTCCGCTGACTGCAGCACTGGGTGCGTTGTGGACCAGCGCGAAGGGTCAACCAGCTGAGCCCAATAAGCGTCCCTATCTGCAGTACCACGGAAGACATGCTCCATCTTCCAGCTGATTCGGGCAGGCCCGAACTTTCGGAAGAGAAGTGTATCGATGATGTACCCGCCCATCACTGCGAAGACAAAAATGCACCACCAAAACATGCAGAACTTGAACATGGTAGGGTAGTGCTTCAAAATCTCGAGGCCCTTGCTCTTCTTGGCCATTGCGGGTACCGCGCCAGCAAGCAGCAACAACAGCCGCACGCGCTGCTGCAATGGCAGCCCTCTGTGGCCAGAGGCCAGCATATGGACGGTCTCCCACATCAGGGCTGGGGCGCGCGCGCGCAGAGTCGGGCGAAAATCCTGCGAGCTGGGGAGAGGGGAGGGGCTGGACAGAGTGATGAACAAACGAGCGTATCCTCGGGGGAGACGAGGGGGAGGCAAGGGCAACGGCCTCGCTGGCAAAACTGGATGCTCTGATTCAAGCGCGTGACGGTGACACGTTGCTGCAATCACAGAAGCGATGCTGATCAATCTGTCATAAGGCACGGACCCCTCAAACTTTCAACGGCTACAAGCATGTCAGCATACCTTCAAGGCTCTTTCTGGCCCAACTGGCAAGCGGTGTCTCCAATCCCATGCATCGCGGTCCAAGAAGGCTTGGAACGACCATCACGTCTAGCAAGCCACTCACGCCGCGTGGGGCCTGAATAGCCTGGACAAGACAACCTTGTTTCACATCTCCTTCCAAACTCCTTCTGCCCCCCTTCGCGATCACATCCCTCAATGTGATTTCTCAAGTGCTTGATCAAGTAGGTCGGGCCGTGTAGTGACCTCCCACAAGGGAAAGCTGAAGAAGGATTTGGCTCTCCATCGCTCCGCCGTCGTGATGGTGGCTTGCATGGGTAAAACGGCTGCTTGGGTTCCGCGCATGAGCGAACCCAACGGGCGCATACGAACAGATGCGCAACGAACGAACTTCACGAGCGACCCGTGAGCGACCACTGAGCGATGTCATACGTACACCTTTTTCCATGGCAGCCCAATGGCTGTCCTGACTCGGAGATCTAACAAGGTCCGCCGAGTCGAACTCCATCGATCTGCATCACTAGATGAGTGGAGCCGCTCTCAGGGATACGCAATCAATGACGGGCACGACGACGTCAAGGCCGACGACGAGGAGGACGACGGCACATCCGCCACCGTGCCTTGTGCACAGTGAGGCGTGAGGCGTGGAAGAATGTCAGGGTCTGCCTGGTCAGGGTTTGTGTCATTTTCTAATATAAAAAGGCCCCCCCCCATCTCCCGGTCGAACTCCGTTGCGCGCACCGCCCCCCCTTCCCGAGGCCGTAATACCTTCCAAAATGCTACAGATTCATGCTCCCGAGGCCCAGATGACTCCAAGACGGCCCAAGATCGCTCCAAGACGGGAGACGTTGGCCTCAAGACAACCAAAGATGGCTTCAAGACGGCCCACGGAGCCGTCGAGGCGTCCCAAGAGAGCCCCAAGAGCCTTCCCTAGAGGGCCTCTCGACGTCCCCAAGAAGGGCCAGAAGGGCCCTCGAAAGGGACACGAAGCCACAATTCGAGCCTTTCGCCCCAAGAGGGCTCAGGAGACCCCACGAATGACTAAAGAAAAGAGGCCCCAAAAAAGCTCCCTAGAGGGCCCCGAGATGCACAAGCCATTTATGTTCTCTAGCTTTTTCTATGTGTTTGGGTTTCTCGGCAGTCTAACTCTCAAGCAGCCGACAAGTCCCCAGAAGAGAGGGCGACCCCGGCAAATGTGGGGAAAAATTGTCATGAACAGTTGTTTGGACGTTGCTGGCACCCCTGCCCGTCTTGCTGACTACTTCCGCCCAGAGGGCGGTGCAGCGCCGGCATGGGAGTCAGCTGCCCGCGCATGGCAACTTTGATCTCTGTGCTGCAGCATACTCTCTTGCTTGCGCTCCGTCTGGTGCAAGGCGACCTGACTGACTGACTGACTTGGGTTTCTCGCCTTTTGGAGCTCCCGACGCTCCAAGACGGCCCAAGAGGCCCCAAAGACGCCCTCGAAACGGTTCAACAGGCCCGCAAGAGAGCTCCAAGGCGACCCCAGAGGACTCCAAGACGGCCCAGGGAGGCGCCTACGACTGCCCGAGAAGGCCCCAAGATGGGCCAAGAGTGGGAGAGCACGAGGCCAGGATTCGAACCTTCTGCCCTAGAAGGCCCTCGGCAGGCTCCATTGCCTCCTCGAGGGGCTGCCACCCAGAATGCTGCGGTGGCACTGTGGCGGAATTGCCATAGGCAGGTGGATAATTGGGTCGATCGAATCCTGGAAATGGGGTCCTGAGTGAACGGGGGGAATGGGTCCTGGGGCTTTCCTCTAAGGCCGATCTTTCTTCTCGAACTGTTGTTGCTTGGCTGTCCCCGGCGCGCGGGCAGGACTCTGAGATGGTGGGGACGGCTGCGAACCTGGGGGTTCTTTTGCCTTCCCTCTTGCTTGTAGGGACTTCCTCAATCTGGGGGTCCAGGGACGACTCCGAGAAACCCGATCTCCAATGTGCACTGGCTTTTGAACACCCCAATGTCTCCTCTGCGTCAGTTTTCGCATACAAAATACAGACAGCAGAGAACTGGCAGGCAAAACGCAGTCCTGATCGCCCTGCGGAACATGGAGGACGGGGCGGCACCCGCCTGGCGGACTTGGGGCGCGCGTTCTGCGCACGCATTGTCAAATTGGGCACCGCATCTGCAATGGCATGAAGGACAAACACATCATGATCATGACAACACGCATGCACACGACACGGATTGACTGTGCGGGAGGGAGAGGATGATGAATGAATGAATGAAAAACCAAAAGAAAATGTAATGCGGTTACGACCTCAATAGTGGCGCAATTCCGCTTCCGCATCATCGGCACGCACCAACGCGGGGGCGCTCGTGCACGAAGGGGTCGCGGGCACAAGACCTCCGCCCTGTTTCAACAGGCGAACACCTAGTCGCGCCAAGGGAGGCACCGCACCTGAACGCGTTTTGGGGAACCCGCTGAAGGAAACGACACCCCACCCCACCCACAAGAAACGGAACGTTGCTCAGCGCCCGAACCTTGCAAGCACGTTTGCCGGTGAACTCCCAGCGCAGGTCGTAACTCCCAGAAGGGGCGAATAACATCCTGCTGGGGCGAAAAACCCAACGTGCCATGGCTCAACATGGCTGCGAAGACCTGGGCGGGGTTGGAAAAAAAGGGGGGTAGGCCACTCTCCGGCCAAGGGTGCGCACAACGTCCACCCCTGGGTTTTATTTGAATCCAAGGGCCGTTCAGCCTTCCTTTCAACGAGGGCCCGAAGGGAACGGGGTGGAGGGACCTCCTGGCGCACGCCATTACGACGATCGTCCCTAGGACGGGAAAGGCGGGGAGGAGGGGAGGGGACTGCCTCAACCCACTGGGATCATCGGCGGTACACCGCATGTCCCCGCGGTGCCAGCGGGCTCCCAGGCTGTACGGCTTGGTCGCCGTAGCGGTGCATGTGAAAACCGCACTGGCCTGACGGCAGGGAGAAGAAGATGATGAGGAAAAGAAAGGCGATGGAGGGGTTTTGGAGAGGGAGGCCAAGGAGAAGGGGGGGATGCGAATACTGCCTAGAGGGAGGCGAGCCAGACGGGGGGGCATAGGAGAATGAGGAGGAGGAACGCAAGTGCAAAAGGACGAAGAGGACAAGCCCCGCCGTCGGAAAAGGGGTCGACCCTTCTATGGCATCAAGACGCGCAGAATCCACCAGAGGTCTGGGGGCCGATTGTCGCGAGACCCTCGGACGGGGGTGCCGTGGCCAACCTAGCGCGCCTGGCCCCGCTGGCCATCTCCCATCTCTCCCGCCTGATCCTGCGGCTCTGCCTGCCGCTCCCCCTCATCTTGCACGAGGGCCCTGGACGAGGGCGTGGCGGCGGCAGTGGTAGTGCCGAAGCGCGCCCCAAATCCAACAAGAGGCGTGACGGTGCAAGCCCGGCTTGTCTGGCTGATGCTCTGGGGGGGCCTGTGTTCAGGGGAGGCCGCACCGCTGCTCAACGATGTGCTGTCAACCAAACCTTCAAGGTGGGCCCTTCCAATTAGCTTCGGCTTCAGCTATGGGTGCGCCGTGAAGCGCCTTGGGGACAGCCAACTCATCCGAACCGACTTCCGCTCACATGGTTGCCGTCCCTTCTCGCTCGGCGGCGCGCAGTGTCGGAACGTGCCGCGTGTACACAAAACAAGGGATCGAAAACAGGGCGCGATGGCACCGTGAGGCAGAAGGACAGGACAGGATAGGAGACCTGACCACCAGCAACCAAACTGATGGAACGAGGCTCCACGATGCAGTAGCTGAGCGAGGAGGAGCAGGAAGAGGAACAAGAAGGTGAAGCATAGCAAACAATGGTAAGAGACAAAAGAAAATTGAAACAACAGCAAAAGCATCGATACTCGGATGTCCGCTCGGATTTACAGGACCTGCACTGGATCCACCTCCCTGGCGCGCGGAGCACGCCAGAAGCGGCGCCGCTGGGCTTCTAGCGCAGATCCGATAAATCCGCGACGACTGCCGAACGTGTATGTTATTTGCCGAACGTGTATGTTATTTTTGAGATATAGAACTATGTCTGTATACATTTATATACATATATAAACATAGACAGGCACAGAGAAAGAGAGAGAGAGAGATAGAGACATCACGATATGTGTTTATATGTGTACATATATAGAAAAGGAGAGAGAGAGAGAGAGAGAGAGAGGGAAGGAGAAAGAGAGAGAGGTCGATAGAGACCAGAGCACGCGCAGAGGGCACGGACAGTCGAGAGAAGTCGGTGCAGAACGACCAGACAGTGAAGATAGGGCAAAGAGATCGTAGGTCATTCGAAGCCCGTGCCCTCGCTGCTCTCGATTTCCTTCATTCCAACCCTCGGCACTCAGCGTCCTGCACTGTACCTTGCTCCTCCATCGTCATTGGCTTGCTCCCGATACGAATACGAAGCAGCGGACATTGGTGATCTATGCCGGCATATTCGCGGCCACTTGTCTGGCCCAATACTCACCAAGATCCGACGGCCCCAGCCAGAAATCCTGTCGCCAGCCGGTGGAGCCAGCGGACAGGATGCAGGAGGCATCCAAGCGTGGAGCAGATTGGGGCCATCCATCGGCGCCGCCAGGCAATACGCGCCGAACACGGGCGACTCCAAGGGCAAGGGGACGAGGGGCGAGCGGGACCTACAGGCAGCACAGGCAGCGCTGCTGAAAGTCGTATCCAAGCCGTGCCTCAGTGACGCGCGGGAACTTGCCATTGTGGGGACGGTGTTCCATACGTGGGGTACGGACGAGCTCATCGAACATCTTACGCAAATTGTGATCGGCGCGAGCGCCAAGTACAACACCGTCTCCGCCGACCTCGAAGAGCGCCAGCTCAAGGGGCAACAGGTTGACTTCAGAGCGAGTGGACCTCCACACGTGCACATGTTGGCGTCGGTGAGTTCCAACTTGGTGAAGAAGGCTGACGGGTTCTTGCAGGGCAGCCTCGAGTCGAACGCAGCAGAGCTCGAGAAATTCAAAGCGCAACTCCAACAAAAACACATCCAATCGGCCGCACCTCACCAAGTTGCTGAACACGCGCTGCCCTTCCGCCACCGCAAGTACAAGAAAAGCAAGAAAGAAAGAGAAGCAGGAGCAAGGAGGAACTGCGGACAGCAGCCAGAGCACAAACGACAAGAAGGGCAGCGTCTCGTTCGCCTTCAGCTACGATGGGGCGGGCTCGAGAGCTCGCGAGTTGCTGCTCAAGTTCCTGAACAACCAGGCCGTCTCGAAGGAATGCGGTGCAACTCGTCGGGCCAGCTCCCCGGGGCCCTCTCGAGCGGGAGGCGGCGCGCCTCTTGGATCAAATCGAAAAGAAACGATTCCAAATGCAGGCGTGGCACGGAAAGGGCAGCCTCATCGAGAGATAGGCCGTGAAAGCGAGCCGCTCTACAGAGGGAGTGAGTGAGAGACAGCTTCTGAGCATGAGAGCCTTCCAGGGTAGTGAGCGTTTACCGTTTTGGGTGGCCCAGGGCATCATCTCAGACCACTTCAGAGCCACCAATTTTGTAGTTGTGGCTCGTAAACGGGATCCACATAGAGGGAAGGGCAGTAGTGGGGGCCGCGGATCCAATCGGGAGTTGGTCGCCTATGTGGTTCCCCCTCGCATGCCTGCGCGGCGTCAGAGGGTTCGCTGCCGTTCGGGGGCGGTGCTGGTCCTGCCAATGGGGGTCACCCCACTTCTTTCAGGCTAGCCCGCTTCTTGTAACTTAGGTTACGCAGAATTCTCTGCCAATTTTATGGCGTGAGGCTTGTGTAACTCAATTGAACTCCTCCCCTCGCATTGCTCATTGCTCATTGCTTCCATCACCTTCTTCCACTTCTCCATAACATCCTTCTGATGGTGCCCCCCCGGTCCCTTGTCTCCCCCTCCATTTTTCATCATCCTTCGCTTTGCCGAAGCCGAGCGCCTTCGCGAAAGGCTCAAGGTTACTTGGAGGCACCCCAAACGAACGCATTTCAAAGATGCAGGCCCACACACGAAGAGCATCACGTACCCTCCTCCGAAGCTACTTTGCTCTCATCCCTCATTTAAACTGTATATAGCACAACACCAAAACCAACACCAGCACAACACCAACACCAACACCAGCACCAACGACGGGAATGACCACGGGCGGCTATGACATCGATACCGTCGTCGCCGTCGAGCGCCGCCTTCCCCTGGTTCTGGCTCGACAGCCGCTCCTGGACGAGCCGCGCCTCCAGCTGGGAGTCCTGACATCTTTTTTGTTATGCGCGCTTTCGGGCACATGTTCTGAGTGGAGAAGGCGACGGTGCCCGCACAGGTGTCCACGCGAGCATGCTATAAGCGGGGCGGGGCCGGGCCGCCTCAGCGCTTTGGATGGAATACTGCTGGAAGAGGAGGTGGAATGCATCTTTGTCGTCGTCGTCCTCGTCGTGTCGTCACCCGCGGCACTCGTCGTTAGCGGAGGCAGCTCCCAGGTCACCTGACTTCTCGCTTCGCGTTGTGATTTAGCGGCGCTGCCCGCGCCCGAGCTCGCGCATGCGGCTCATGGCGCGACTGCAACCCTCAACGCGAAGACCTCCGCTCAAACTGACTGGGCCGATTGCGCTCATCATCAGTGCGCCACGTGCAACAACCACCGCTGTGCGCCAAGAATGGAGCAAAAACACGGCGTACACATGGCGCCGGAAGAAATAGAAGAAATGCGCTGGTCAGCGCTTGATCCCCCCCCTGGGGTGCGGAGCGCGCTGGGGGCCGCGCTGGGGGCGCCGCCAAGGGGGCGCAGCGCGGATCTGAGAAAGCCACGCGGACCTCGGAATCTTGGTGTTTATGTCGCTTTCTCTTTTCTAAGAATCCATCCCCGCGATGTGCATTACAGTGATACAATCAACCTGTACATTAAGGATGCGCGGTAAGGATGCAAGGGCATGAGAAAGCCTTGTTGACGTTCTTCGCATGGGGCTGGCCAGCGACAATTGCCAGGGATGGGCCGGAGGGGAAGGATGCACGAGGAACCTTGGAAAGCTGTACATCCTTACTATGCGGGTTGACTGTATGATATGTGTGTGTGATAGGTGTGGGGGAAAGGTCAGGGGCTGCCTCCATGTGCACGCTGTGCACGTTATAGTGAAGGAGGGAGGGGCGAGGTCGCACGAGGCGAGGTCGTCAGCCAAATCGGGAGAAGTCGAATCGACAGAAATCGGCAGGCCAATAGGCCTCCAATGGGCCTCAGTCGGAATCGGAAGTCGAATCGAATCGGTCTCGAAGCCGTCGAAATCGAAACCGAACCGGATCGGAGGAGTCGAGAGGAGCCCCACCACACCACAGCAGAGACATCCCACTTCTGCTGTGCCGAGCGCGACCACCCTGGAGACCGGCCAGCTCTCCAGTCCAGGACGCGCGGCGCGGGGCCAGAGCTCTTCGCCGCGCCCGCGCGGGTGACTCAGTTTTGCTTCCGTAAGCATTGCCAAAGAATCCGCCGACCCGTTCAGCTTCATCGGCGTGTGAAATGCTTCCCCCCTCCGAACACCCCTCCCCCGGGAGACTGGTCCGGTCGATTTGGAGGGGTGGGGGGTCCCCCGGGGCAGGGTTGAACGCGCCACGGAGGGACAGAGGGCCCCAAAACAGGCGAGGGGGGCCCCAAGAGGCCCCCCCGACGGTCCAGGAGGGCCACGAGTCGCCGAAAGATCGAACCAAAACGCCCACGCTGGCCTCCAGACGGCCAAAGAGGCCCGCAAGACGCCCCAAGAAGCCCCCGAGAGGCGTCCCAAGAGGGGTCTCCAGAAGCAGAAATCGCCCCATTCTCGTTCGAAACCTTACATTTTCAGCACAGTCGCCTCTTGGGCGTTCACAACGTCCAAGGCGGCCCAAAAGGTCTTCAAGATCGCCCCAAGACGGGCCAAGAGGCCCCCAA